CTAAGCTAATTTGGTGGCCTCTAATTGCACAACGTTTTGTGGAATGTTCAGTGCCTATGAGTGGCAGGGCACAGAGTTTGATGTATTTTCTGACACCATGCTCACAATACAACACTGTGGTCACGAACTTAGGTTGGAACTGGTAACAGTCAGACCTCCCAAACCACTGCTTGCTCAACAATTATCTGTTTGGCTGAATGCCACATAGAGAGCCGGAGAGCATTGTTTGAAATAAACCAAATATTCGAAAAACAATGCAAGAGATTAATTGCGCAATTATTTGTCATTATTTATGAGTTTGCTGCCTTTTGTAGATGAGTCACAAGATCAACAATTAATAATGCTTTCAAAATATGATAGCAAAGAAGCAAATGGTCTGGACAATTTCAGAATTATATAGAACTGCACTTATTTGCGAGTATTGGTGACACACTTCGTCGGATTAAATTATCAGTTTTATTCTGCTTATCCATGAGAAAAATAACCAATTCCAGCAGATAATGGAATACATTTTCTGATCGTTCCTTACGCGTGAAAATGCGCAGATAAAAAGAATAGCTTGTAAATATGGCCAGGGATACGTGGAGCTCTCCTGTGTTGTAACTAGAGATTCCATAATATAACCATTCACCTGTAGGTTATGCTAAAGGCACAGCGCTGCAATTGCAACCTCGCGCCACTGCTGGTGCAAGGGCCTTCAATGAAGAATACTCTACAGAGCCTCTCCCGAGCGCACATGGCATATTTTTTCCAAGTAGGAAGATGTGGTTGTACCCACACTTTACCCCACCACACGCGGTCAGCCATACGACTGTTGTGCTGCTGGTTATATAGCAGTGGCAGGGGGTGGAGGGTGGATTTGAGAAAATTGCCTCTTGTTTAAACGAATCTCTCAGCCTTTGGATTGCAAGTCCAGTGTGCTAACGATATCCCCGCTGCAGCCTACACATGTAATTTATATACGGATATAAAATATCTGTGGCACATTCCGCTCAACGTGCCAGACAATTGGAAAATGTAAGCGGCTGATGTGTGAATTTTTATTAGAAATTGAAGAAAAACACAGCAATAAGCACCATCGCAACAAGCAACCCATGGTCATCTTGTTGCACCTCGGTTAAAATGTTGGCCAAACATGTTGTGCCGAGGGCAGTGCGGCATGCCATGGTTGTAACTGTGCTTGCGGCTCTCTGTGAATGGGAGCGTTTGTGCTCCGCCCTTGGTTTTCCCTGTGGCTGCCTCGATGTTATGACCCCTCGTGGCAATGATTGCGTGAGCCTACGAGCCACACATGGAGCGAGATCATCATCATTATAATGTCTCGTAATTTAGAGACCCAGTTAGAAAATCCGCTCTCAAACACCGATTAAGTTGTCGTAATTGAGCGGCATGGTTAGGGTGGTATGGTTGCATGCGCTGTGTTATGAGTATGAGTTTTAAGGGTTGTTACCTTTGAGGTACAGAAGAAAACTGGGACATATGGGAAGGATTTCTCACAAACCAGAAGAGAGGTGCATTCCATGTAAATGCATTGTCTTAACTCGTGTCGTGTGTTTTTGCGCTACTGATAACAACAGGACTTTTAACGTCTCGAAAGGACTTTCAGAGACAGCTGCCTCAAAACTTGGATGATCCTATGAAAACTAGGACAGGCAGTTACCCTAGTTAGTGTGTTAGTGGTGAAATTTATTTTACACAAGTCTCCCAGTCCAGCTTCAGTTAATTTCCATATACATGGGCGGCTGAGCTTGCTTGCACTTTTTAGGTCCTCAGTGTCATGAACAAGTCAACATGTAACCACCCACACGACTCATTTTCTCATAATATCGAGCCCCATTGGGCCGCTGATGATCCTGTAATTGCTCTCAAATCGGTACAGCTGTTGTTTTACTGCTGCTTTCATGTTCCGTGGCCACACTTGAGATGTATCCAGCAAGTGGCTTTTCAAAGTTCTGTGTGCAGAAACGCGACGGACGTGGAGTTCATGGCACTAATGTCTGAGCATTTTTGCAGTGGGTGGCGTAAACATCACGGTGAAACGTGTCAGTGCCGCCCGCCTAGCATTTAAATTCGCATCGGGGCAATTCTCGTTGTGCCGAAGAGTCGTGTGTGCAGCCTGTAGTGCACAGTACCGCAATGCGAAGACCACCGGGGCTTCATTTCAGTTTTCCCCATGGGTGAGGTGCCGGAGAAAGTACGTAACGAGAAGCGATAAAGCGCCGTAAACCACCATGCATGCATCAGCAGGGTCGTCACCAGGCTCGCGGGTCAGTGTGGTGAGCAGTACAGCAACGTGTTGCTCTGGAGACCCCGGGGAGATCGATGCGTTGATGGATTTTCTCACTCAACCAGAGTGGGTCCGCGCGAACGCTGGGCATGTGTCACCTCTGCGCTCCATTGATCGAGCGCGCGGGTGAAGTATGGTCAAAGGTGCCCCCTGCCCCCAGCCACGTCTCTGCACGGCGTTGAGAAGCCCTCATCCCGGAGTGGATTGACAATGGGGGCTGTGCAAAACATGACAATGTGGGTGGGGTGGTGCTGCGGTGCAGCGGTTAGCATACCGAATGTGCTGTGCCAAGAACCCGGGTTTCCGAGTTTTGAGTCCCGTCTGTGGCTATCGTCAGCGGTGAGTGCTCTCTGAACCCGGACCAACCAGCGCTACACGAGCAGCTTGGTGAAGTTATGTCCAAACGAAACAGAATGAAAGGTACGCGTGTTATGGGGAGGCCTTCATCCAGCAGTAGATTTACAAACTATACAGTATCAAGCAACAGCAACAAAACCCTCACTTTAAAAAGTAACGTTTAGACCAGAGTATTGGACAGTGTGCACGTGTTGTTGTTGATTTAAAAGTTACAACTGTTTCACAACGCAAATGGTAAAGGTGCAGCTGGGGTGTGGAAGGGCCGTGGGTACCAAATACCCGGTAGTTGGCCTACTCTTCCACGTTAGCCCGACACCTTGGAAGACTCTTTTCTCAGTGTACTGCAATTGAAAAGCACGCGTTTAATTGTTCGTTTGTCGTAATTAAGCCAATTCGTTACGTTTACCCAGTTTACTAAAGAAACCCAATTGTTATCGAATGTATCCCGAAATATGCTTGCCACACTCAAAGGAATGCTTGCTCACGCCACTGGCTGGCAGAAAGGGACCTCCCATTGTAGGGAACTGGAGGTTATTTTATTTACTCTTTCACGACGACCAGAGGTGGACGTGTTGGACGTGTAACCCCACGCTTTACCCCACTACACGCGATCTACTGATGGGACGCACTCGTAGATGGACAGAGAGACCGGTGGAGGGAGGGAAATTGAGAGTTAAACCCCCCCCCCCCACACCACCACCATTGTTTCAAACAACACGAATTTAGCCGGCGACCTCTGGGTTCCAATAAGTAGTCTACGGCGTTGGCTAGCCATTGCAAATTTGTGTTGACGAAATCCGATCCAGGAGCTTATTGGCTCACGGGGGTAATTCAAAATAAACTGAACTGACGTTTGTAGGTTCAATATTAAAAGTCGGAATCAACTTTAAAGTGGGATTTGTTCTCAGCACGTGCCCATTATACTAGACACACTCACTGTACAGGCCACGGTAGATACAACCACGCGGTTACTCGGCGTTGACAATGGAATTCGTCGATTAAATAACACGGGGGACATTTTTTTCTCTTTCTTTCTCTCCCATATTCGTGTCTTGAATTTGCAACAACAACAACAAAAGTTATCGTCTTATGTTTTTTTTTACAATATCTCGCTTGGCCATCACATATAACTTGAAGCGTCAAACCTACCCATCATACACAAAGGCCCCCCCCCGGTCACCCCGTGCGTAGCCTTATCCCGACTGTGATGGGCCAAGCAGCAGCGCTTCTGACAAGGTCAACGCGGCACGTGGCCAGGGGAGTGTGGTGGCCGAATCACCTTTGTCTCCCCCCGATGCTGACGTTTATATTTAATAACACCACCGCAATCAAGGTGGTCATTATGAGGCTGAGTCGACCTAAGTGGGGGGAGGCGGTGGTCGGTGTGGGCCACAGGACCGGGTTGAGATTGAATTCGTCACCGATTTGGTGGTGGCCGGAGTGAGTGCTGGCAACCCCCCCCACCCCCATCATTACAAACAGTTAGTGACGAATCGTCGCAAACGACAGGAGGCAGGAGGACTTCAAATAATTGGTGTAATTGAATAATGGTGGTGGCCCAGTTGGGGCTTGAATAAGCGGATGGATGGGGGCAGTCACAGCAGCAATGACGCATCAACAACAAGAATACTATCAACTTGATTTTGTTACATAAAAAAACTCATCTTTATCACCTCCTCCCTCCTCCCTATGGTGTAAAAACGCGCAGTCTCTCAAACTCTCATATACTTTTATATTTGTGGAAATGAAGAAGGGACGTTGACCGAAACATCGCCTTTAATTGTTCACCCCCCCCCCCCCCTTAAAGGCCGTAGGTGTTATTGGCGAACGCGTTGAGTCTGCTAACAATTGTGCTTTGTGCACCACGTAAACACACAGCAGTCATTTGTTTTATCGCAAAAGTTCAAAGGGGGTTGGGTTGGGGGGTGAACCAGTGGGCGGGACTACGGCCACGAATGGGCGGGGCTATCGGGAGAGTGGGCGGGGCTATCGCGAGAGTGGGCGGGGCTATCGCGAGAGTGGGCGGGGCTATCGTGGGAGTGGGCGGGGCTATCGCGAGAGTGAGCGGGACTATCGCGAGAGTGGGCGGGGCTATCGTGGGAGTGGGCGGGGCTATCGTGGGAGTGGGCGGGGCTATCGTGGGAGTGGGCGGGGCTATCGTGAGAGTGGGCGGGGCTATCGTGGGAGTGGGCGGGGCGACACGAACTAGTGGGCGGGGCTAGTGTGGAAATGGGCGTGGCTAGTGCGTGGGTGGGCGTGGCTACTCCGGGAGCGAGAGGGAGGAGCCACGCGCACTGGCCGCCCACGTGTTGCGGCGTGCGGTGTGTAAGTAAGCGAGCGTGTGCGCGTGTGTCTCTCTGTGTGTGTGTGTCTGTGCGTAAAGTGTAAGTGTAATGAGATCCGGCTGCTTTAGTCGGCAAGCGCTTTCGCCGTGAACGCTGCTGCTTGCTGCTGCGCGGGCAACGCACCCAACGCACCGCTCAACGTGCGCGCTCAGATGCTTCAATCGTCACCACCACGACGACGATACTGAAGAGAGAGGAGGACTCCGGGGGCTGTTGTGGGATCGTGGTGGTGGGGGGGGGGAGAAGACGCACGGGGAAGCCACACCGCGTGCGCTCCCGCGTGAAGTAGGAGTGTGCGGGCAGAGGAACAGCGCACAAAGGGACGAACCAACGCCAAACAAGCGACAAACATCATCATCAGCGGCGTCGGCGTCGGACTTGTGTCGCATTGTTGCGCTGTGCTAGACTCTAGACGAGTGGTGAGTTGTGAGCGGCAAGACCGAGAAAAGAAGAGTTGCTGCTGCTGCTGCTGTGGGAAAGAATCCGTGAGAGAAGAGGAGGAGGAGGCGGCTCTGATCCTGTGGCTCTGCCTGCCTGCGTGGGGTGGAGGGGATTCTTGTTTTCTTTTAATTTTCTTTGTTATTTTCTCGACTCTCCGTTGAGTACCGAGATAGTAGGGGCGGTGGTGGGGGGGTTTAGGATTCTCATCCTAGAGGAGAGGAGCGTTGTCCCTCTGCGGAGATCTTTGTAAGCGTGTGGAGACATTCGTGGGGGGGGGGGGGCTCGGACGTTCGAAGGAAGAAGCGACGACACCACGAGCAGCAGCAGCAGGTTAGTTTGTTGTGTGTGTGTGTCTGTGTGTCGGTGTGTGTGTCTGTGTGTGTGTGTGTCTATGTGTGTGTGTGTGTGTCTGTGCGATTACTGTGTGCGATGTGTCTTTATGAGTGGGGAGCGGTGGCCGTAACGCACGGCCACCAACACCGGCAGTGAGGATTCATCCGGGACCGGTCCTGAGCCTCCCCCCCTAGGTCGACTCGGCCTCAAATGAGTACCTGGTGTGGTGGTTAGTTAACATCGTCACTCGGGAGACGCAGGTGGCCGGGCTTGGTTGCTGGCCACCCAACCCCCTCGTGTGCCCACAGTGCCGGCCCTTAATAGGTGCTCGCTAACAGCGCTTGCCCCAACAGTCTGTTACAGGCTACACGAGGGGTGTGGATCTTTGTCTTTACGCGCGTGATGATGTTATTAATCTGCTTACTCGGAGTAGCGCAGTACTCACGATCGATTACTTCACGGGTACCATATATCCCACGGCTCCGACTACTTTATTGCATATATATGCAGCCCTACAATCGATGTTTTATATATTTGATTTTTAGATTCCTGGTCCCGGCTTGTAAGGGCGGTCAGCTGGTAGGGTGATCATTTGCACCGGTCTTTGGGGTTAGACGCCTGTTTCACCAAAGCCCCTTGGGGTGATGTATGGTCAAACGAATTCAGGGGGAGACCTTAATTCTTCAGCATTGGACCGGGTATGCGAGTGGTTGTTAAGTGTAGTCTGTTTCGCGCTTTTGATGTGTTTGTATCAAATGCTGCTTTGCTATGCCAGTTGAACGTGCATCACGGCTGTACCCAACTGCGTTTGTCTTCTTGGGATGGCTTCGGTGTAAGCGCCTTGTTGGGCGGACAGCAACGCACGATCTTACTACGTCGTTCTCGTTCAAGTAAACCGATGTGCGGTGGATGGCATCATCACAATGTGCTTGTCGGGAGAAGGCAAACCATGGAGATCCGTCTCGTGAGATGGCCTGCAGCACCACAATGCCCGTGCCTCAATATTTGCCAATGCCAACACCAAAAGCGCTGGTTGTTGGACATGAGTCAAGAAGAAGAAGAGGCATAGCAGTGGAATTTTATTTTGTCCGTGAGATTCTTTGAACAAAAAAAATTAATGGGTGGGTTTTACCTTTCACTAATGTTGACAGCAGCCAACATCAATTTGACATTCTGTGAAGGCTTAATACGTTAGCGCCACGCATTTCTTTTGTTGAGGGCCCTTTTATGAAATGCCAAATATTTAATGGGTCCTGTAACAACGTGGGGGATTTTTAAGGTTTGAAAGACAAAAAAAATCGAGTCGAGTGTTGGCGCAACGGTTAGTGGTCCCGTGCTATTGACCCGGAAAGCCAAGTTAGATTCCCCGGCGACCATCAGTGGCTGTGATAACTTAACTGGTTCGTTGCTGGGCGCCTGTCTTGAGCAACCGCACTGATCAAAGTGGTGAAGTATGGTCCAACAAACCCCCCACCCCACCCCCCATGGCCAACACTGCATGGCTGGAGGCTTTGATCCAGTATTGGATTGATTAATGGGTGTAAAAGAAAAAAAGGCACCTTTTGAAAAAATGTGGTGGTGGCTGTGGAGCCTTGGTGGTGGTTGGGTTAATGTTTAGCCTGTTTGTGAGCACAGTGGTGATACGTTATCTCGTGGAAACATCATTTGTTTGCGGCTCCTAATCCCATCAATGGACAAAATACAATTGCGGGTCCATGAAAAACCCCACGACTGCACGTGATAATTTTCAAGAGTGCTTGCTGCTCGCTGACGTTCTGTTGCTGGAAAAGCAATGAAAGTTGTTAGCAGCAAGTTGCTTCCCGCAGCAATTTTGTGGTGCGTTTGTGTGCCGTGTGGGAATTTCAGTCGGAATGCCAGACGCGGCGGAGCGAGACCCATAATGACATCTGGGTAATAAGATGAAATTGCAAAGCTTACGATAATATAATTTCAAATCCAAGTATATTTTTTTGGCACGGCACACTAGACGGTGCCATACAACACACCAGCCACAAGTATTTCACTGCTCCCACAAAACCGGCAACATGTATGAGTTGCTCGTAACATGCGTGGCGATTACATGACATCTCGGCCGCTCCATACCGCCGTGGCACGCATGCTTCCAGAGCACATCATCGTCATCACCACCGTCATCGGTAATAATGCCACCATTCTCAACGCCAGGTTTCCAGATGTACATGCTGTGAGCCACCAGCGAATCAGAATATTTATTTATACTGGAGGAATCCGATGAGCTATAAAGTATTTTTGTTCCACAGATGTCCAGTTAGGGGTGGGTCGGAACGTTACAACAACAAGCAATATAAAAAAACCACGACAGGAAGTGCAAAGTATAGGAAAGTTAAGCAAATAATTTTAAAATAAAATGTATGCTTTACAAGTGAAAGGGGGAAAAACACAAGCGGATTGAGTGTCAAAAACACCGAATACAGCAAAGCCGTGGCTTTTAGCAGCGTCTTCTCTCTTTCAGATCACGGTTTTCTACCCAGCCGTGGGTAGCCTTCTACCCACGGCTGTAGGTTAAACAGAGAACGCATTACCACGATTTTCCAGCGCCAGACGCGAGTGAGGTCGGCAGGGGCAGCGTGCGAGCAAACCCAAACCGTGGCTCTGAGAGCAAATGGCTCACAGCTCGCAACATCCCCCCACAAAGTTCAACTTCCAGCACAGGCAACACACACAAAGTAAATGTTTTTTTTTAATGTGCGCTCAGCTCGGTTGTTGCTGTTTTGTGTGTGTGTGTGGTTTTGAAGATTTTTTTTATGATCGCAATGATGGTGTTGGCGCGCTCCGCCACGGTGTTTGGTGCAACTTTTTTGAAAGCACAAAAGTTTTGGGTCTCTGCTTAACAGACGGAAAAACATCTAAACTTTTATAGTGAAAACAAAACTGATTTTTTATGATCGCAATGATGGTGTTGGCGAGCTCCGCCACGGTGTTTGGTGCAACTTTCTGAAAGTGTACGCGCACAAAAGTTTTGGGTCTCTGCTTAACAGACGGAAAAACTGTAAAAAGTTTAAGTGAAAACAAAACAGTAACCCAGAGGGGAACGTGTAACTACAGTGGTGTGCGTGGCGCAACGTGAAATATGCATACAGCTTTAAGCTGTGGTTACTGGATTAAAATGCATTTGTTATAAATGGTCCAACTATGCAGAAGCAGATAATGTGGTTGAGAGAGTGACTTTAAACCTAAATAAATGACAACGTTCTTACTTTTCTTTATGTTTAATAAGCGTTCTATTTTTTCTTCAAGTATTGATCCAAATACTCAAGAGTCTTTGAAAGCTACTGCTTGTGCTATTTTTGGAAACAATTCTGTAAGACTGCTGGGACATACACACACACACAGTGTTTGTGTATTTCATGTGTAAATTAGTTCTGGTGCACACACTTCAAAAGCGCACGAGTGGAAGGAACAGATACATCGCGTGGTCTTGCTTTGTTAGATGCGACTCGAATAACGGTGTTGAATTAAATGTATGCAGTGCTTCTCACCCTTTGTTTACTCTTAACAGAGTTGTCTGCGGTTCCGTGTGTGTGTGTGCGCGCGCGTGTGTGTTTGTACCCATGTGCAGGGCCATCCATTATGCGGTCAGCCCTCTGCTGAGATCTGACCCTGCCAGGCTCCTTCTATCAGCACGACAAAAGCGCACACAGGCCACGGGCAGGAGAGGGCGAGGAAGTTTGCGACAGCAGGGAAGGGAGCGCGGGTCCTTGCCGCGCGCCAGCGTGCATCTGATGGAGACGCCACAGCGCAGACCTTGAGAGCCCAGCGAGCCCGTGCCACACACGCCACCGCCACCACCAAAAGCCACCTCGCCAGCTCAGCCCTCTCCAGCCATGGCCTGTTGCCGCACTTCGAGCTCGTGTCAGCAGCTGCTACTGCTGCTGCTCGTGTGCGCTGTTACGCTCACCTCGTCTCGTCCGCCGTCCAGCAGAGTCGCCGTGCCCACGGGTGAGTCTCCGTCGTGGCGATGCAGTTTGCGTTGATGACGGCCGCCCGTCTTCCGTGAGATTCCATTTTATTTGGTGTGGTGTGGAAATTCAACGTGGGATTAACAGGACTATTGCATAGCATTGCTGTTTGTGTGTGTGTTTTTATTGTGTTTTACAGCAGGTGTGACTTAATATTGTTGTTGTGTGATGTGTGTGTGTGGGGGAAAGTGTATAGTCCCCTTTTGTCAGTCCGCTCCTGGATGAGGGCCTCTGCATGCAGTGTGGGCATCTTCGTGGTGGAGTTTTTTTGACCATACTTCTACGTTTCTCCATGCTAAATGGTCTTAGCAAACGGCTGTTAATACAAACAAATGTTCTGTTAAATACAGTACTTTAAAACATTCCACCAAGATTACCCCCCAAATAATGGCCCATTGACATTATAATTTTGTTGTGTTTCCAAAACACTACCATAACAATAAAACTGTACTCGGCACAAACTTACCAAGACCTTAGGCATCTTTGCTAAATATGTACATTTTAGGGTAGTTGAGCTGGGTGCGTTTATGCGTAGTGTGCTCAAATAGCAGAGATGCATCTCTAATGGTGGCACCCATCTCTCTGTGCACGGAGAAGCCAGGTGAGATTTTGGGTGCGGCCAACAATCCGAATGAACATCATTAGCAGCTAAGTGCGGGTTGGGCTTTGTTATTCATGCCTCGGTACAGGGACAGAACCAGCCCCCCCTCTCCCTGTGTGTGTTTAACTGGTAAAGGTGAACTCTGGTGGTTTCGTTTGCCACGCCGCTGCTTTCACTCTTGTGTGTGTTCTATCGTGTTGGTTTGTAGTGGACTTCGGGATTTTAGCTGCGTATGTTTTGTGTTTTTTTATGTAAAAGTATATTTCGTTAAGAAAAAAGGTTGAGGTTTCTAGTTAACCTTAGCTGTAGTTATGTATGTCTGGGGGGCTTTGCTTGTGATATTCCAGTCCAAAATCTACATTTCGCACACACACTGTGTGCCTTGCATGGTATGGAATGAAAATTCCTTGGGAGAGAGTGTGGTAAGTTTGCTCGGCATTTATAATAAAGCTGCTGCTGCAGCATCATTTATGAGTTTGTTATCGAGTCCAATATTGTGGCCGCTTTTATCGTCCGCTGACAAAAAAAGGACAGCCTTAATGAAAAAAACAAACGAGAAAAACCTACACAGCCGTGAATTTCTTTTGCATGAGGATAGTCTGAAGAAGGAATATCTTTCATAGTCCTTCACGTGTACAAATAGCCACTAGAATCACGTGATTTTAATAAGCTTCACAGTCTCATTTGTGTTAAAAGATTTAGTATTTTATAATTAAAGTACTCATTGTTATGTATTTGCCACTTTCAGTCTTCTGAATTTCAATATGTTGGCATCTGTTAGAGTTTTGGGGTGGTTGGCGCTGGTATTTAGGTGTGAAAATACGAAAAAATTATCATACATGAAGACATATCAAATGTAACGCGCTTGAACACGAATTGCAATTTTGTAATCGGCCCTTGATAACTTTGCACCACGTGGTTCTCAATGAGACAACACGATGTCTTCTTACCAGTAGACCAGGGATCTTGGCAAAATGTTAACTCCCTCGTCTGGCATGCAGGAGGTCGTCGATTCCATCCCGACCCTGACGCCAGCTATATATTTGGAGTTTGCGTGTTCTCCCTGTGGTCGCTTGGATTTTTCTCCGGGCTGCCTATTTTTCTCTCCATTTTTAAACATGCGTTTGGAGTACTTTGATGCGATACATTTCCACACGATGATAAGCCACTTCGTTGAGCTATCATTTGTGGCCAGGTCACTTCTGAAAAAGAGCTATATAGCTCAGTGGGCCCTACCTGGTAATGAGGCAAAAACAAATAGATTGCAGATTATTTTTCTCCAAAACATTACATCATAGGCGACTTGTTAGGAATGAAGAATAAAGATCCTCCAGTTTTTGTGTAAACAGTTTTGTCTGCTTGGTTTGATTGCCGATAAGTCATGTATTAGTAATTCTTTTCAGTTAACTTCAGACCTCCCGCAACTGAGAGCCAAGCGTTTGTTCTGTCAAGGTCTGCCGTGAAGTTTAACGCACTTTTTTTTTATTCTGAAAAAAAGAGCTGTTGATATATTTACTGGTGCCGTTAAGCCAGCAACGTGTGACGTGAAAACGAAAGCTGTGCTCTTGTTCAGCCGGTATTCCTAAAGTTCAAATTAATACATTATAGAAGCTAATATATTTGGTTTTAAAATGCCATATCTATGAGTAAAACTAACAGGACCCTGAGTATTTAATATTTTTCCTTGAGGTATGATTGATTTGCATGTCACATTATAGGCCAAAGCGATTGCTGATGAAGACATGTTTAGGCGGTACATTTATGTTTTATTCTGCAAATGTAGTTTTCCGTCCCATCAGTTAATACCGTATTTAATTTTTTTTCTGATTTTCAACCATCATGTGGTGCTTTAAAGCTACGAGGCCATGCTGGGCAGGTTTTCTCGTACCTTGCGTTGTTGTTTGTGGAAATGCTTCCATCATATCTCTAGTGTGGTCACTGACCGGTCAGTGTGTTCAGATGGGGAGAGAAGGGGGAGGAGGGGGGAGGGCAGCGAGGGAGGGAAAGCAAAGCCATCCAAGGAATGCTCTTGGCAAGCAAGAGTTTACAAACAAGTTGCCCGGATCGGCTTTCCCCCAGGCACAGATTAACCCAGGCCGCACAAGACCAGCATTGTTTCGGGGGCCTCGGCTCTGCTTGTGCCCTTACATTCACGGGAGGGGAGTGAGTGGGCAAGGCGCTGTGAGGGCAGGGTGGTGGTGGAGGGGGGGGTCTCCTTTTCAGGCACGGGGTCGTGGACCAGGGGCCAGTCAGCCGTACTCAGGAGGGATGGCAGGTTTAGCCTCTGAGACCCCCTGCCCTGCCATTGTGCCATTCATCTTGGCCAAGGCAGCAAGATTAAGAAATCCCGCTTGTGTGTTTGAGTTTTAGCGGGTTCGTCACGGGCGTGGCTGCGTTTTAATAAGCGGGCCGGCCCCGTGGCCCATTCCACGCTTTAAACGAGCGATGGAGCCGTGCGTGCGTCCGTGTGTGCGGGCGGCCAAGCGGGCTCGCGACGTTGCCTGCTCTCCCGTTCTGTTTCAGCACAGCACCCAAGGTCCTGCCGGAGCAGAGGGGCGCACTAATAGACGTTCGTGCGTCCAGACGCTTGCCATTTTGAGCACGCCGCCGTCTCCGTTACAGAGCAATTAGGTCCGGAGAGCAGAGGGGGGGGGGGGCTCGGGTTGCGGCCAGTTTTTACAGTCACTCCTTATTAACCAGAGCTAATGGCGCTCTATTCGGCCCCGTTGTGACTTTTTGTTGCTTAATTTCCCAGTCGTTTATTAGAAAGAAAAGAACTTTTTTTGCCCATCTCCGGGATTGTTCTTGTTTTTTTAAAACGGTTAGCGAAGCTTGATTCCGTGTTTTTTTTTTTTTCCCCATTTAGTTTGCCGCGTTCGATTATTGCGTTGTTGCGCAACAAAAAAATGTTGCTCAAGCCTACAGCTTTTTCTAAAAGAATGTTTCATCAATTTAATATCCAAACAGCTGAAGCCACTTTTTGTTATCTACTATTAGCAGAAATTATTACAAGTGCTTTCAAGTTTTACCGTTTTTTTGCACCATTATTGCGTAGGAAATGCAGCGGCCAATTTGCGTTTCTTATTTCGCGAAAACGACAGCCTTAACATTTCAGGCAAATCCCGGCGTATTTAATCTGTAGCCGCCATCCTGTCTTTGCGCATTCGTGCCTTCAATTTGCTTGTGTTTCGAGCGTTATTTCACGAAAAAATCCTTGCGTTATCAATTGTTCAGCATCTGGGACCAGTTACGTCAATGATTGTTTTGTTGTGCGCAGAGGTTTTTTTGCGATGTGACATTGCCCTGGAATGAGTGTTGAGCCGAGGCCAAAAACTACATTATAAAACCCAACTGTGATAGCAGTCATAATAATAATAAATGTATGGGAAAGGGAGCATGTTTAATTGACGAGTGTCCTGGCCTTCAGGGAAATGGAAGAGAAAAAAACCACGGGAACGTGTTACCTATTAACGGCATTGATCTTGAGAGTAAACTTTCAGCATTTGGGGCTTAAACAAATAAAGTCACATTTTGCAGCTGCAGTCTTACCCATGAAAGGGTGCTGCTCCATTAGTAATCTGCCAACAAGTGTCGTTCTCCTGGCTTGCCAAACTGTGGTCTGTTGCAATGAAGGCCTACCTACCCACACACCATGTTGATTTTAACCATTTAAAAAAAAATCATACTTCACCATGCTGGTCAGTGTAGGTTCGTGAAGTGGGGGAGGTGGGGCGTCGCTGGACCAGGACTGGTTCGGATATCACTCGGCACCGATGTTAGCCGTGGTCGAGAATTCTGCTTGGGTCACGCGGTTCATAGCGCAATGCACTAACCACTGTGCCACCGCTCGACCCCGCTATATTCGGGGTGTTCAAATATTTCACAAAGAATGCCCCCCCCCCTGCCTCCCGCCATAATGTTTTCCACACAGTAATTGTACAACAAGTTCATTCATTTTAAAAACTAACAGTGTAATGTGTGTTGGTGTTTGAACTGTTATCGTCCAATTTAAGAAGTCATTTTAAAGTGCCCTTCTTTGTGTGTGTGTATACGCAGCATACATTTCATCGACGTTGTTTAGGTTTTTGGCTGCCATGTGTGTCGTGGCTGGGTCTCTGGTTCCATGTGATTACAGTGTGACGGGCGAGTCCAAGAAGCTGATAGATGCTAGCTTGGGAACGTGGGGCGTTAAAAATAATAAATATGAGAGGGGCAGCAGCGGGGGTCTGGGGCTGTATGTTGGGAAGGTGCTGGGAAAGTTCTGAGACTATAAAGAACACAACAATTTGTGTTTACGCTAAAGCTCGCACCAGTGGGTCATTCACGTTGCTTGCGTCTCCATACCCTCGTGTGGCCTGCTGCGAGCGTTCCTTCACACT